GTCACCAGTTTTCTAAGTAGATGTATTTCTAAATGTGCTATCGAGATGAACTTCTCACCAGATGTCGGTAACAACCCATCCAATCCACACATGCAAAGAAATCAAACCTATATTTAATATTTTCAATACTTTTTTTTACCAGCTGTATGTTGGTTGCAAACTCTGTTAGAGCTCCAAACAGACTTTGCCAGACTAATACAGCTTTGATGTTGTAGATGTCTCATAGATTTAAATTCAGATAGGATTACAGCTTATAAAAACCTTTTCCAAATTCATATCAGGTGTTGTGAAGACTTATAAATATGTATCTGCAACAGTTAAAAACGTATTTCATCTTTGGGAAAAATTGACTTGATGGTGTGTTACATTAGACACGGATTGGCCATTTTGTAGGTGGCTGCAGTGTTATGATTTTTCCATTTATATACACAAATGGAAAGGTTAAAGTGAACAAAGGTAAGCAAAATCAGAGGACACTAGTTAAGTTCTGTAAATGTATTTTAGTTACTTAATTCCAGTTGGTGGTTACTGGATATTGGGGGCACTTAGACTTTTTGTGGGTTGCCAAAATACCCAGAAACGCTCCAGCGACTTTATATCCATCACATGTTTAACATGAGGTGAAACAGAACAAAAAAGGTTTGGGAACCACTGGTTTAATCTTTAACATGCTGTATTTTATCAGTTCACTTTTTTTCACCACATCATTCTAAACCTAAATATGAACGAGTAAATAAAAGTAGTTCACTTACAGTGGTGAGTTGAAGCCTGGCTGGGTGATACTAAGGGTGTTCCAGGGCAGCACTGGCATCAAAGTCTCTGAACTATTCTGGCAATTATTATTATTAAATTTGCTTTTTTTCCCCCTCACACATTTATTTATATGAAAGTTTACAGCCATTAAAAAGCGTGGTTGTTTAGAATTAAGATTGGTCCTTTTCAGTGCAAAGGTAAGTCTACAGTGCATTCCTGACTTTGAATTTATATAGAAAAAACAAAAGCATTTCCGAAAGTTTAATGCAAAACAATAACTTAAGAAAATTAACTTTTATTCTAAATTGTAGTAGCAATGGAGTTGGCCCTGTTTTCAATCATAATCAAACTGATTAAACTCTGATGTTTATGTGAACAACGAGCCAATAAAATCATCAGCCAGTAAAATAGAGGATTTGGTGCCATCTAGTGATCTGACACTGAATCAACAGAAACTTGAACAGAGCACAAAATCTGGAATAATGGGATATGATCTAATTATGGCAGTTACTAAAAAAAGGGAAATATGTGTGTATATGATGCTTGTTTTTAAAATCAACAGCTGATTTCCATCTCCTCTCCTTTTTTTGAGTTTTTGAACAAGCGAGACAAAAAGACTGAGAGGTGTCACTTTCTCTGCTCGGCTGTCTTGTTGAGTCGTCGCTGTAGCAGGTAGACAAACACAGCAATATTCACGAAAAACTGGATTAAACCTATAGAGGAAATGCCATAGTTCATATACAGGAAGCCCCCTATAGTAGGTCCCACTGTGCGAAGCAGAGATTGAACAGATGCGCACAGTCCCAGCATTGTGCCTGCAAATGAGAACAAGATTAAAACTGGCAATAATTCTTTACACTATTTCACAATAGGTTCACCTGTAGTTTTCTAAACCATTTTATTTGGTATTATTACATTTTATCTTTGAATACTGGAGTGTCTTTGCTTCTTTAGTTTAAAGCAGCTTTATTCGAATGCAGTCACACATCAAGTGATCTAAAATGAAGCTTTTTAAAAGTTGAGCCTGTCAAACACCATCTGGTTGTAATAAAGTAAAGCGGGATGGTCTCACCTGTGTCAGAGGACGGTACACTCTTGGTGAGGATGCTGTCTGTGATGACATTAAACACACTGAGAGAAAACATCATCGGGAGGATGTTAAAGCAGAACTGCCACACATTCTGTATATATGCCTGTACAGAGAAATACCAGAAATAAACAGTTTTCAGCAAGGAGTTCAATGGCACATTATATTCATTGCTAGTTAATTATGTTTAATAGGGATTGCTGTCACAACGAGTCCAACGAATGCCTGCAGCAGAACTCTAATGGGCTGTGCTATTGATTAAGTTTTTGCTCTGGATTTCTATGGATTTTTTTTTACCCATATTGTTCATATTGTTTCCTGCCCTCCTTTTAACTGTTTCTTTTTATTCTGTCTTATACTATTGCTCTGACCAACTTTGAAGGACTTTGGTCAACTTTGATGTATTATTATGTGCTATAGAAATAAATTTTGATTTGATTTGATGACGCTCCCCAATTCAGCTGTGAATCCAAATATCTGTCTTAAGGGGCTTTGGCAGTGTGGCAAAGGGGTAACTGATAGTGAGGCCTGTTAGGGGCAGCACCATGTACGAAACATGTAAATGTGGCTGTTAGCATATTGATGTATCAATTCAAAGCTCTGCTATGAATTGATACAGTTTTACGCCCCAGTCACAACTGGTGGTTACCAACCACTTGGTAACCACCAGTTGTTGGGGAAAATTGAGTATTTCTCAACTAGTTGTGAGTGGTTCACAGTCAATTGGAAGTCCCAGTCATGCAGGCCTAAAGCAGTCACCGAGCACTTGATATCCTCTGGTCATCGAACGCTCTCCATTTAATGTTTGCGACGGACATTTTCACCTTTCACTTTTTCAAGTTAATTAGTTGACATTCCTTCCATGCAAACTATGAGTGGCCGGAGTACTCTAGCAGCAACCAAACCAATCACAAAGGTTTCAGCTGCAGCAACCTGTTTTTGACGGATTTCACCCAGTGCCAACCAGCAATCTCAAGCTGTTGAACAAGCTCTTGGGCTCTTATCTGAGCTGATAAAAACAAAGAAACATGAACACATTCATAATAATAAAACAAACAAAAAATACCCTAACAAATTCACACTTGTATACAGGTGAACAAGTATTCAAAAAAGTACAAGCACAATATCACAGTGGTTCAATACCAGGCGATAGTAAAAGTTGTAGTAAGATTTACTATAAAAAAAAACTCATGGTAAAAAAAAAAAGGGGGTTAAAACTTTTCATTTTACTTGCATCAAACAATGGAAACAATTTTTTTTTTTTCATCAAGCTGAGACAAGAGTTTTGCTTCTTAAAAAGAAAAGCTATGGAGTACTTGAGTGAATACTTTCTCTCTAAGGGGTGTGTGCTTATGTTTTGTGCATACCTGAGCCAGTCCCACAAAAGAGGACACTCCAATGGATAGAAGCAGCAATGAATTGTCAGAGTACCTTGCCGTAAGCCGACCGATCACTCCTCCTTGAATAACCTGAACAAACATCTGGGTTTTACTCATTTCATCTTGCAGTCTGGTATAATCTTAAGCTCAACCCCCCAACATATCACATACAGTCCATTTGAAAAGTGAATCTTTTAGTCAGTGACCACTGGCTTCTTGGTAATCTCTCTGACAAAGACCAGACTACTTAGCTTAGCTATATTGGAATTTCTTGGACCACCGTTGGTGGTTCCAAAAGTTCCCCATCTGACATTAAGAGGCCATCACAGGTTGGGTTTTTTTAGTCTGACAACTGCAAGACCTTAAACAGACCTGTAAGTAACTTTCCTAATTCATGAATTCAGCTAATCACAGGTCTAATGAAGTTATCGAAGCATATTGGGGACTGTTGTTTCATGGAGGAACCATCAGAGCTCAACCCCAAGTGCGAGCAA